ACAGTGCTCTGCACTGACGGGAGCTGCAGAGCTGGTGATAACTCTCTACAGGTTCATCACTGCCAGTAATACTGTTCACGTTAGAAATATAAAATGATCAGAATTGTCAGGACAACAGATTTTAGTTGTAGCCAAACTTGATTCCTTTTGCCTGTGATATTTGGTGCACAAAGGATTTGAACTTTGTAGATAAACATTATGATACGTGACATGTATAAACACTGTTAGGTTTGGTGTAGCCATGTTTGACATAGGTGCAGGATGGACAAGCTGTTCAGCACCACATGGAAATGAACTGAAAACCTAAACTAACACCAGCGGAGTTTCACCTGTGACTGTAACATTTGTCTGAATCTGAACTGAAAAAAAATGTGACTGTGCTTCACAGCAGTGTTGTTCATTATAAGACCCATGTCATGCTCAGTGCATGCAGTGTGACAAGCTCCTCCTGTTGTCAGTAGGATTAGCGCTGCACCAGTGACCAAAATAATTATTTTACTCAACACGTTGTTATCTAAACACTCAGTATTAGGTTTGTCCCCAGTGAAAGCAATTGTTCACTATAGATCTTCTTTCATGGGGTAAATAGTAGCGCTGAAATATGAGTCACAAAAGCAGATAGGAATGAAGGTTTATATGGAATGTGTAGACAACCCTAATGCACACCTGAAAACAGAACTCTTGTTAAACACTGAACCTTAAAAATGTAAAATGTCAACTTCTTGTGTCTATACATCATATAAACAGCTATTCGTCTCAGATTCAGTGAACAGTCAGGCTTATGAACAGGATCCATCATACATACCTCTGGGCAAAATGTGTAATTGGTTTCTGTAGTTTCAATATGAATGGTTAGAGTGTTCGCATAAATTGAACTTCGTTAGACTGAGATGTAATTCAAATATAACTCAAGGCACCAAACCTTCATTTTCATTTTCAGATCTTTTGAAACCTAATTTGTTCATGTGTGTTTATGGATGGACGCACGCCACATAAGAGCTGTGAACATGGATGGAGACGCAATTACTCCAGGCTTTTGAGTGCACCGCTCAGATGGCTCATATTTTATTGGGATGCCAAAAACAATGCAGGGAAGGAAAACACAATCTTTTTGTTTCTGCAGTGTCACTGCTCAGGCCAGATGTTAATGACACAGTCTGGACAGAACAGAAATAGCTGCCTGAACTCACCGGTGAGGTCGAGAGTTTGCCTTTAAAGATTCAGCTCACCCAAAAGATCTATCAGTGATCATTAGCAGTGTTCAGCTGTGTTGAGCTCTTTGGCTGTGCATGCTCAGGAGACGGTTTCCGCCATCACATCAGTGCAAAGGGGCTCAACAGAGTTTCTCTTCTGATGCACACTGTTTATAAAAAAAAAATCACTATGACCCTCCAGAAACAACATGCTGGGTTATCTGATTGATATATAAATTGATATATGTAAGGTTTTATGGATGTTGAGAAGCTGAATTCAAAAAATGGACTTTAAAAGAGCCGACTGTCTGATGTTTCTACCATATTTATTAAAGTAAAGATAAAGACACCTGATATGGGCTCATGTAAACAACAGTGAGCTCAATGTCTTCAGCTGAATTATGAACATAAATGCTTTGGTTAAATAATCACCTTTAATAATAATAATCACAAAATTTAAATTGTGTGACTTGTTCTGCCTGAGACACAAAGTTTAGCCTCAGACTTGTAGCAAAAGCAAAAAGTTGTGTCATTAGATCCACCAAGAGCTTTGGTTACAAGTTCTGGTTGTTCTTTCTGTGTCTGACACAGCTCAGCCTTCTTCTTACACAAACCAGAACCATATAGCAACTTTGGATATTTTTGTTTTCAGTGGTGCAGAATTAGCAAAGATTTTTTTGGAAGCATTTTGCTTGTTGAGCAGTGAAATCAGGCTTCACTGTGAAGAGATATCACTGGATCTACTATCTAATAAAGAAAATGAAAAAAAGACAAAATGCTGTAATTATTCAACACTGTAAACACCACAAAATAAATTACATTAATCTAATTTGTGTTGGAGAGTTCACATTTTATTCTCCCAGATCTACCTGAATGCCAGTATTGCAGCTTTTAGAGATGAGTCGAATGAGGCTCGTTACTGGCGACCGACTGCACGGTAGCAACGGCGGCACCTGTGCTGAATCAAAGGAAACTTGTCGAGCCTGGTGGAGTGAACTTCTACTTTTTTCTTTTTTTTTTTTTACTTTGGTGGAGAGTAATGTTTACCTAATCTGAAATAGCTGTGGTGAACATTTCACACACCACTCTGTGTTCCTTTTTAAATAAGGTGCCAGCTTTTGTGTTGATGGAAGTTATTTGGTGGTTGACTCTGGAGAGCTTAAAGACTTGCTGATTAAGTTAATGGACTGCATCCAAAACAAATGTCTTCCTGTATCACTCTTTTGCTGGCTTATCAAAAGATTACTGCTAATTAAACACATGCCAGATGAGCCAAAATGCTCCTCTTCACTATCAGCCACAGAAAGCAGAAACCAAATTAAATGTAAATGGGTTGATTTGGCAAAAAAGTGGCGTAGAAATTGCACAGCAACTGCTTCCAGACTACTACTCCATGATGCTGCCACCAGAAGATGGTGCTGTTTCTTTACAAATATGCTTTTTTAAACTTATGTTTGCTGCTGCTGTATGCTGGCTCTGCTGGTTCTCCCTCCAGTCACCCAATCAGATGAAAGTAAAGCAGGAGAGAGAACCGGCAGGACTCCGGGCAACATGTGTCTAAAACCATCATCGCCAGAAGGCATAACTCTTCAAACAGTTGCAGCTTCTCAGCAGGTAGTGACCCATAACCTCCTAATCTGACTGTATGTGCCTCTCATGCAGCTGCTTGTATTGTAAGTTGTATATTTCAGGAAGGTTTATGTCTCTCTTATATGAATATTCTCTCAGCTTCTTGCATAGTGTCAACCTTTGTGTGTAAAATTGAGTGGGAACATAAACCTGACTAAATAGGTAATTAAAAAAAAGCCATATACAAGGAATTCACTGGAGGGTCAACTACCATGAACTGGAGATTTGAACCTCTATCCCAGGACTGTCTCTGCGGCTGCTTCCTCAAACATCACACAAAGTTAATCTGATCTAAAGTGTGGCCAGCAGTATAAACCATCTCACTTCACTCTGAAACTGTTATATTTGGTCCTTAGACACTTCTTATAGCATCTAGGCCAAACATTACAAATCTGTCTAATTAGCATCTACTTTCTAATGATCTTGTCATTTTCTTTAAAGGTCAATAGGAAATGTAAGAATATACTGTTACTGGAATTTTAACAGTTGATGAAAAATGTTAAATTGTTTTGGTTTTAGAATTTGATTTTGGGTATTCCTGCATGTTCGCAGTGGTACGTGGTGAAATCTACTTGTAATAATTAGAAAGTGAGAAAACATCTCTTTAGCTTCATTGAGTAGTTTTTCTGGAACTTTCAATCAAAGTTAATTTAATGTCATGTGTTTTTTTTACTGTGCACTATGGATTCTTCATAAAGAAATGTGAACATCTACAACCTGCCAAGGTCAAGAATGAGCTTTGAACCTCAACAATCTAAAACAGACCACACAGCGATCTTGTACAAAATGATTCTCACCACGTGCTGTGTGATTTGGATAAAATGCCAAAGTGATGCTTTTCTTTAATGTCATATGATTCAGTAGTAATTATGGCAGTCATGGTAGTAAAAGTAGAGAGAAATCTGTCTCTAAAAGTAAGGAAACTGCTTTTATCTTTTAAAAACACAACCAGTCGTCACCACTCTGACATTTTATATAAGTATTTATCATATGAAGAACAGCGTCAATCAGCACTTCATGCTCGTCCTAATAAATGTCTCCTTCACTATTGACCTGAGTCATTGAATTCCATATTACCTGTTTGAGTTTCCAATAGCATTATTGTTTTGTTGTCTCTTTCATTTTCTCTCCTGTGTGGTTTTAATTTTCTCATGAAGCTTTCAGGGCGGCACAGTGGTGCAGTGGTTCGAGCCCCGGCCGACCCAGTGTCAGCTGGGATTGGCTCCAGCCCCCCCATGACCCTCTTCAGGAATAAGCGGTATAGATAATAGATGGATGAAGCTTTCATGTTGCTGCTGCACATACAGTTTATCATGAACAAAGCCTGATCAGCAACAGGGGATTAAAGCTGCTCACTACTGACCTTTGGGCCTAAATGAGACATTACTTTAATTTGACTGTCAGGAAGACATTACACTGGTCAACCTCCGAGACTAATGTGAGGCATTACAACTAGTCTAATAACAGCTGGTCTCTTGGATTAATTATTTAGAGACTAATTAGTTTTGGATGCTTGTTGTGCAGAAGCTGTTTTGTTTGTATGTGTCAGTGTAAAAGAACAGAGGAAAATAGTAGTTGATAACTCATGTGAATTCAAAGGATGGACAATTGCAACACGTCTCACTGTTAAATCAGATGTTTATGTCACATGACCACATCACCTGCTTAAACTGATTGGATTTAATTCATTAAAATTAATAATCTGAAAATACTGTGTCCAATACAGGTCCAGTGTGAGGTTCACCTGGACATGGACAGATACAGCTACGAAGACACACTGAATGCACCTGCCGGCTGCACTGCTTTTAGCTAATATGCTGTTTGTCCCCATAAATGAATACGAGTAGGTTTTGGGACATGATCTGTTAAAGGAAATGTTGCTCAGTTCCATACTGTAACTGTCACAATCACAATCCTGGCCTTGTTATGTTACAGTGTTTTCCATGATGTATCCATCCCCATCCAGTCTCTGGACTTTCCTTCTGACTCTGGCCTGCACACCTGCCTCATTCCCTCATTACCCAGCACTGAATTTCACACCATCTACACCAGTTTCAAGTTCTCCTGTCAGCTCTCCAGTTATCTGGAGAGTTATCCTGACCTCCAAACCTGCTGCCCCACCTTGCCTTTCATGATGGATCCATGTTAGCAGTTTTCTTTTAGCAGAAACGCCTGTCAGAGAGCGGGAACATGCTAAAAAGCATACAAGTGGACAAGACAATGAACTTCTTGTTAAGTCTTTGTACGAGCTTCCAGCACATTCTCCATGTATCCTTAGCACCGATGACAGTTTGAAGAGTGATGCACCTCAGTTTCAGTGTAACTCACTGCTGTGTTTTCCTGGCTGAAAAACAAAAAAAGCAACAAACTAGTTGCTTTTGAGCGCACGCCAGTGAACTACCTTATTATGCATGCACTCACTGTCTCCATTGATTTGAGATGTTGTTGACGCTGTTGTTAGGCTGCATATTAGTTTCCTTGTCATTTATTAACTGTGCTTCTACAATGACAACATGCCTTGAAGGTGCTAAACACTGACACATACCAGCAGAGGGAATAAAAATGTCAGGTGAAACAAATGAGATGCTCTGGTGTCACTGTTGAACGTAAGCCCAGCTTTTCATTATGGTTGCAGCAGATTATTTCCTGTTTGGACTTGTGTGCCTTCCTGTCTTGATAGAACATTTATTGCTCTCAGCTGCTGTGCATCACACTCATGTTCCAGCATTTTGTTAAAGTAGATGCTGACTGAAAAGTGTACATTAAGGGAAAGTACAAAAGTATTATCACTAGAGTGTGCTTAAAGTATCAAAAGTAAAAGTACTCATTCTGCAGGAAAGTGGCATAAAAATGGAACCTGATGCAGACAGTTGTTCATTGTTCTGTAGTTTGCTCAGTTGTCCATCTGACCTACCTTGTCACTTCCAGTTGCCACGTTATGGCAGTGAAAAGCTTGGAATAGTTCAGACATTGATTTTTTTCCTTCATCTTGACTGGCAAGAGGTGACTTTGTATTTACATCTGACAATGGCAGAAACTTCAGATTGGAATCGATTTAGTGTCCCAGAAGAGATCTGGTACTTTGACATTGCTACAAAGATTTAATGATTCACCTACTTGTTATGTAACATGACACAATTTGTGCATTTTCTCTAACAATTATTTGTGTGGGTAGACACTGATCCTGAGTCAGGTTTGGTGTTTACAAAAGCTTGTTTCATACATATCAAAAGACTGATTGGTTTCATTAATGATTAATTTGTGGATTCTGTTTTGGATTATATGCTTACTCTATAAATAGTCAAAAAAAAAATCAAATATCAAACAGAAAAAATTAGAAAATTCTCATGTTAGGGGGCAGGAACCAACAAGAGCAGTGTCAGTCTCTCCAGACTGGCTAATATGTGGACTAGCAATGAATGCTGTGCTGATATCCTTGGTCCCCAGAGGATGAACCCTGATGACTCTGGTGACCCCCTGACTTTTTTTCTAGCACCACTATCTGATTGACATTTTTGAGTTTTACTGAAATAGCTCAACAACTACTGGATGGATTGCCATGACATTTTATACATACCTCTGTGGTTATCAGACAGCAGGTATAGCCTAAGTCTCCTACAAGCACCAACATTTCCCTCACTTTTTTTTATGTCTTAGTCCCACCCATGTAAGATGTGAGGAAAAAAATGCAAGGACTCAAGGAAACGTTAACAATGAGTCTTGGGACGTCCCAGAGGAGTTGAAGAAACAACTGAACTGAGTTCATCTGAAGCATCCAGCCACCAACTGATTTACAATAAAGGGTCATGTTGTGTCCATAAAAGACTTCAGTGAAGGATGGCATCTTGTATTCTTGCTCCTGGCTCCTCCAGCAGCCCCTCGCTACTCAGAGCAGGAAGAAGAGCTTTGGAACATCCTTCAAGATGGCTAACTAGAACATTAACATCAGATAAACATGCTCCCAGTGACAATGCTAACATACTGGTGCATAGCAGGTATAGTGTGTACCATGTCCACCCTCTCAATTCCCTTATTTTATCATTCCTCAGACCTCGATCCTCATTTGACCAGGAAGCCATTCCATCCCTTATTTTATCATTCCTCAGTCCTCTATCCTCATTTGACCAGGAAGCTATTCCGGTCTGCCATGATGAAAGATGTCCCAAAGCTCTTATTTCTGCTCTAAGGAGCAAGGAGGCTGCTAGAGGAACAATAACTGAGGATACACAAGTGCATCCTTTGTGAGTCATGTCAGATAGACATGCTCATTTACTGCAAATCAGTTTGTGATTGGATGCTTCACATAAGGATTTGAGGAAAGGATATGTCAGTTAAAACATGTTTCCTCAGCTCCTTTCTCCTCAAAGTTTCTTCTTACATCTTTTTTTAAGTGGGTGGGACTAAGATGCAAGAGAGGGACACGTGGATGCAATTAGGGAAACTGAAACCTCTGTTTCTGTGTTTGGTTGTGTTGTTTTTCCATCTGTGCTGTGAAATGAGTTAAGTGATTAAGAACTAAGACTGAAAATTTAGTCTTGATTTTGGAAGCATTTATTTAAAAAACTCCAGAACAGCTACTGTGTGGAGCTTTATCTAAAGCATTATTTCTTCACTTTGGCTCTAAAAATGTTTAAAAAGTAACTTGAACCTACTGAGCTGTGTAACAGCAACACATTCTACTGACACGTTAAATACAACAACCTTTTAATGTCAGTGTGCTGCTTCCTTTGTGTAGTTGTGCCTAAGATTACGTGTGTGTTTGTGCAAGTGTCTTTGCACTTGTGAAACACACAAAGGAGCAGCATTTGAGAATTTTTATCATTGCTGCAAACGCTGTCACTGGACTGTTTCTCTACACTGCAATTACAGAACAGAGAATGCTGCGCCTTATTTAAAGAAAAATGTAGGCAGACAGAAGCAGAAGGGTCCCGAACCCACAACCCTCAATTACCTCACTGTGACGCACAAGGGTGCCTCTGCTGGATGCCGGGCTGAGGGGAAACTTGTCCAAGTGTATGTTATTTACAGATCCAGTAAACTCAGCGCTGCGCCTTTACCCTGAGGGTTCAAACGGAAAAGGCAGAGTGAGGTTCTCTTCCTCATGAATTCTTTATTATTCAGCACAATGACATTATTCTTCCTCTTCTTTGATGTTCTGCTCTTTAATATTCTTTTCTTTCAGTTTATAGAAGTTGAAGTGTTAATCCCAGTGAGGGAAGGTCAGAGCTGATTCATCATTCCATTAACCCACTTCAAAACCCACGAATCAAAAATGGATATATACAGCCCACACTTTAAGTATCCTGCATCTCGAAAAGCCTTTATGGGGCTTGTCATTATGATTTAACAGTGGGAAGTGCCAGGTTTAATCATCTCCCCCACCCACACAGGTTTGAAACAAATGCTTTCCCCCCTGTGTGTGTTAGCGGTCGTTTCAAATAACCAGGAGACTTTAAAGAGGATGTAGGAAAAAACATAAATACCTGACAGATCGAGTGATGCAATTCATTGCGACAGGACACAGTCAGCAGCTGCTTGAGCGTGTAATCTTACCAGAGGGATCTGTAGAGCTGGTTAGGGGCAAATAAAAAGAGAAAGGGAACACGTTGTGAAATCAGTTGGAGCATGTTGAGATTTCAAATTAAGATTTCATTTTAAGGTGACACATACGTCTTGCACCAGACACAGTGATGTGTTCTGTCAGTCAGGTGTCACTGGGCGGGTGTTGATACTTTTCAAGGTCACTGACACAGAGAACTGAGAAGCTGCTTCTCACAGGCTATCAATCAGTCAGTAAATTGGTCTGATTATTATGACCAAGCTTTATACAGAGGATTCACCCCCTGCTCCAGTAAACACACCTTGTCCCACCCAGACCTGCTGCTGGTCAACTCTCTGCTGCTCTGGTTTATCTGCTGCACAGTCTGATGCCTGCAAGAAATAAAGAAACCTGGTTCCATACATCTGATTGTAAGGCTTGTTATTTGATACTAAGCTAATCTTCTGTTGCTTTTGTGTTTGTTAAAGTCTGGTTCTAACTGTGGCATGTTTAATTATATATAAATATTACATAATAGGTAACAATGATTGATTTCAGAAACCTTTAATATCTGGTTTCTGCAAACAGTTGCCTTTTTACACATCCAGTAAAAAAAAGCTACATTGGCATTTATTTTAAGTTGTTTGTGTCTTCATAATCTATTTAGTAGCAACTTATTGTTTATAAAGGAATTATCAGCATGCTGCATTGCTGACAAACTGAAGGGATAAATTACAGCCAAAGGCTTTTTCACTTCTCTTGTACCTGATCTGTACTGCATTAACACATTTGTATTTGCCATTAAAGGATAATGTTGGTGATTTTCCAAATTCACTTCTCCTACAAATCCCATCCAGAGGCTAATAGTGACAGTGAATGTGATGTTCTCACAGTAATGTGTGACAATCCAGAACCTGGTTTAGATCATTGGTCTGAGTTGTAGACCTCCACTGTAGCCCATCCATCCATCCAAGGTCACAGGGGGCTGGAGCTAATCCCAGCTGATACTGGGCAAGAGGCGGGGTCCACCCTGGACAAGTCACCAGTCTATCACAGGGCTGACATGTAGACAAACAACCACACACACTCATATGGGCAGTTTAGAGTCACCAGTCAACCTAAGCTGCATGTCTTTGGACTGTGGGAGGAAGCCAGAGTACCTGGTGAGACCCCATGCAGGAAGAACATTCAGACTCCACACAGAGAGGCCCCGGGTTAGCTGGGGCTCGAACCCAGAACCTTCTTGTTGTGAGACAACAGTTGTCACTTTTTTACAGTGTCTGAAGAGTTAACTGGTCTCTGCTGTGGTGACACTCCTGCACTAGCTTCTTTTTGATATGTGTAGCATGAAATGCTATACTTGTATTGCGATGGAACCTAAAATGACCTGTAGTGATATAAATACTGATTTAGTTACTATGAAGTTAAAGTCCTTGAAGTGATGAAATGTTTGTTATGTCTACAAGCTGCATGTGGGACACATTATATTCATGCCTCTGAGATGTCCAGTTACTGAGGGAACAGTTTCTCTGAAGGAAAATTCACTGAGTTAATTTAATGTGACCAAAACTGCCTGTTATACAGGTTGAGGAGGAGGAGGATCCCATGTGAAAGCATCCACACAGCCACATCGATGACTCACTCAGTCATGATATACGATGTGACAGTCACCACTGGAGTCAAAGCTCAGGGAGCCGGTTGTTGGTTCAAAACATTTCTATCAGATTTGGTTGACACTGGTACAGTAATGATGCTCATTAATCATGACCTTATCACATAGAGACGACTTGTGAAACTCCAGATGCAGCAATTAGTGATGAGTCACCGCTGGAATTGACACTCGACCCTGATGGTACACCATCTGACAGCTAATCAAAAACCAGCACCACCCAGAATTACAGGTGTGTGTGTGTGTGTGTGTGTGTGTGGTGTGATGGAGTGAGATATAGCTCTGACCTGATCCTGTCATGTCACCTCATCTTCCAGTTTTCCTTCTGTCCCTCCTTCTCATATCTTCATTTGAGGAAAGGAGATGTTCTTTGCTAACAAGACAGCTCAGAGAAAGTCATATTGGTTACTCATTACTCTTCCTTCTTTCTTTTCACTCCTTCATCTCTGCCCTTAGCTTGATATAAAGCTCCCAAATTATCCAAATCAAGATTTCAAGCTGCTTTTCAGAAACAAAAACAGAAGCAGACCAAGGGCTGAGCATGCTCCTGAGCTGAACTGCTGCAGCATAACAAAGGAAGAGAAATTATATAATCAGAATTTATTCATATAAGGAAGAAAATAATTACTCAAACTGGACCACATTCCTGTGTCACCAGAAAAATGATTCCAGCATAACAATGGCACTGTCCTCTACAGAGTAAAGCACAGCACTAGACATGGACGAAGATGTAATTGATGCACAAGCACAAACTCCTTGATTAGATGCTTCCTGCGCTAATAGCTATTGGACATACTGGAAATAGAGAACTCATTAGAATCTGTGCCAATTAACTGACCAACACTAATACATTAACAGGATAGATCAGGGTCAACATCCTGTCTCTCTGCCCCATTCACCTGCCACACCTCCCAGAGACATGACTCACCAGAGTGAATCTAGTTTTTACTGAGATCCAGTGGTTCTGAAACCAATTCCTGAGCCTTCCCGAGTTTCACCATTAACACTATTCCACTAATTGGTGTTACCTCTGTCCTCTTCAACATTTGTATATTGTAACTTGCAAATGTGCTAAAACTGAGTCTAAACATGGGAAGTTATACCTGCAAATCTGTAGGTTAGCATTGTCACAGCTCAGGTGTTGGCTCTCACTTGACCCCATTTGACCCTGATGAAGGCTACAGGCTAAAAGGTGCTGGTCTGACATTAAAGTTATTCATACTACAAGTGCTTCTGGAGGGTTTTTTTTAACCTCTTCAGACTTTTTCCCTTCTCTGCGCACAGTGAAAGCAGCTGAAGTTGTTTCAGATCCTTCCTCTGCTTTTACAGCGTGCTAACATAAGCTTATTGGATACTACGTATCTGCTTGCTCTTGGAGGTTATGAAATTAATATTTGCTTTAGCTGCTTGCTGTCACCCACAGTGTTTCTATTTTGTACATTTGGGCTTCATTACTTCAACCTTTTCACATTATTCAATTAATTTCAAATGTCAGTATTTGATGCATGGGTTATGTTTTAGGATGTTTTTAGTGAAGGGATGAATGTCCAGACCGGCTTCAGCTTAGTTCTGAAGGCCTGTTTCAGACGTGCTGCTTCATTCTCAGAGTTTGAAGCTTGGTACTCTTTGATTCATCTAAAGGTGCATTTAACTAACTGCTCATGTTATAGTTATAACACAGATTTTATTATTCTGTACCAAGTAGAGACTGTCACAGCATTTCCCAGTCACACACTGACAGTGGTTAGCACACAGTTTTCCTGTGTTCGAATGCACTATCCTGGGCCATTCTGTGTGGAGTCTGCATGTTCCCTTTGTGCCTGTGTGAGTTTCTTCTCACAGCCCAAAGTCATGCATGTTAGGTCAAACCAGAGAAACATAAAACCTATTTCAAACTTACTCTAATAGTTTTTCTCTCAATAGTTTGTTATTCTGAGGCTTCCGTGTTTTATAAAAACATATATATATTCCAAATTAGATCTGTTTGAGCTGTGCTTAGTCAGCCAACGCTAAATGATTCCAGATTACTTGTAATGTCCTCAGTGTTACACCAAACCCACCAGACAAACAAATCAGAGCAGAACTGTGAGCCTTTGGCAGATGACTGACCAAAAACAAATGAACTCATTGTTGTGAATGAAATGTAAAATTGGCCTCTCACTGGTGAAGATGGAGAGATGTGAGTCATGCAGTCTCGAGCACTGTCAAAGCTTCCTGCGCCTCCATCTCTGTCGCTGATGGACCTGAAACTGACAAGCAATCAGTGCAGTGAACCAGCATTCTACTGTGTAACTCAAGCACAGGATTAAGACAACAGTGCAAGCTACAACTGCACCCATTTATCTGTCTACACTGGGTGTAAACATCCATCCTTTGACATGGTGGTAACATAAGAGGTGAAATGATACACAGGATCGTGGCTGGATGTGCTCAGTTCAAGGGTCAAGGGGAAATTTGTCTTTGAACAAGAGAATTGCCACATAACACAGCACATCATCATACAAAACACTGCGTAACAACAACAACAAATGATACACACAAATAAATCAATAACTAACCAACAAATTACTCACAACCATTCACTGTGTTTTAACTCCAAAAATGCATCTCAAACATATACAGCTTACAGGCATATCTCTCTACCTGCTCCCCAACACCCTGTAGTAACTAGGTGTCTCTTCTGTCTGGGGAACCTGCACCTCCTTCCAGAGCTCAGTAGCTCGTACTCAGAGTCAACATGACGTGGATCAGGTGGGATCCAGTTGTTTTGCTGAACAAGCTATTCAAAAGTATTGGAGATGAAGGGGTGTGAGCTCTCCCACGACTGATTTTCTAGTTACACACTGGATTTAGTGCAGCTGATTACATTTTTATTTCACAGTAAAATCTAGGCTTTTACTCAGTACTGTACGTTTTTCCAACAGCTTAGTGAGATAATTTATGTCTGACATGAATTTATTCTTCTAATTCCAGGTTAATTGTAATGGTTTTGAGTTTATTGAAGATGATTAGATAATTTATCATGTAGCATTATTATGTGCTGCAAATTCAGAGTGAAAGAATGTTGCACAGTAAGCTCCTTTTTTCCCCAAAACTGTGACCCTGCCTGATTGGTAGTGGGGAGATGACCTGCTTTAGAAAGGTCTTAAACAAATCAGCCTTTCTTTTTCAGAAATAACTTGGTATCAGCTGCTATAAATCCTCTCCCAACCCCGAGTCTTGCACATGTGATTACAGGTAAATTCTAAATGTCAAAACAACTTTCAAAGTCAACAGCCTGATTCCAAGAATAAAGAATCTTCACTGCTCTGATTTTACAGAAGAAAGAATAACCACGGCGTTTTGTGCCAGCGCTGTTTGGTTTTCTTGATCATTTACAGCAGGAAGGACTGGCTGAGTCACCACGTCTAAATGCAGAAGAGGCTGCAAACGCCATTCTGAGGTAATAAAGGGAAAGTAATACATTGTAAACTACTGCTGATCTACATGGAATACCAAATATAGCCATGCTGGGGGGACGGAAGCGCGTTACTGCTGTGATTTCTAGTTAAACGGATTCCTCAAGACTGGAACTGCAGGTACGGGCTCTGAAAAATTGATCTAGTAATGATTAGAGGTGCAGACACCAAAATCTAACCAGCTCATTGTCTTAATGATTATCAAACTCTACAGAAATGACCTTCATCAGTTTAACATCTGCAAAGTAACGAGTAATCCATTACTTTGTAACGACTCCTTGCTGTTGTTGACTTTTTCGGGTATATTTTGCCCAGCAACTTTTGCGGGATGACTCACCCGAGGCAGCTGTTACGCATGACAAAAAGAAAAAATCAAAGGATAAGGTGGAGCGAGCAGATGGCAGGAGTCAGATAAAAAGGTGTTTGGAGCGGGGGAGCGACAGTTTGTCAAGGGGAAAGGGCCACATGCTGCCGCGCACCGGGACCATGCAGAGCTCCAGGATGCTCAGCGGGGCGCTCCTCTGCGCGCTGCTGCTGCTCTCCAGCGCCGCTGGAGCCGAAGTGTTGGACACCGAGTCCGAGGAAGAGCTGAGCCCCAGAACCCTGCGGGATTTCTACCCAAAAGGTCCGAACCTGACCAGCGAGAAGCAGCTGGTAAGTCTCACGTCTGCGCGTGCGTTCTGCATGCAGTGGATTTAAATTCGGTCCATTATTATTAATACTATTATTATGTCAAAGCAAACTCCTCTTTTGTATCATTTGCAGGTTAGTTTTTCTGAATTGCATCGATAAAAAGGTGTGGCCACTGACCTCCAGTCTCCGACTGAATTAAAACAATGTACAACTTTGTTTCGTTAATGTGTGTAATCTTCACCATGGCCTGTCACTGTTGACATAACTGTATTCTGCAGATCCGTTCACCTGTACCATCACTGTACCTTATCTCAAATTATGACTTTTCTTTTTTTAAATGTATATAGGCTATAATCACTTGACCTATTGGTTGATCACATGACACGTTAACTAATCATTTCTATGCCCATTGTTGATAAAACAAAGGCACGTTTATTAAACACTTTCGGTATTTTTACCTGTGTCCTGCAGCTTGGAGCCCTGCAAGAAGTTCTTGAAAAGCTACAGGCTAAACGACAGCCTTTGTGGGAAAAGAAATTTGGCCAAGTCCCCACGGTATCGTACTTAAAACATATTCTATAGATCGATATTGTACCGATGCATGGCGCAGAAGGTCGAAATCAATCACGCCTCTGTTTTTGTTGTGTGTGTCTCTCTGTCAGTGTGATGTCGGGGAGCAGTGCGCCATAAGGAAAGGCGCACGGATCGGCAAGATGTGCGACTGTCCCCGTGGAGCTTTCTGCAACTTTTTCCTGATGTGAATGTAGCTTCGAGATGGGAGGAAAAACTGTCACTCGATTACTTTGTAATTAGTGTCATATTTCTATGATGCAGCCGAGGGGCAGGTGGGGGCACTGCCCGACCCGTACGAACAAATATATATTTAAAAGTACATCACATCACCAAAAAACTTTAAATCGTAAACAGCCATAAAACATTCAGAACCACTTTGCATCTGAAAACAACGGGATCATTGTTGTGACGTAGAAATAACCACCAATGCACAATAAACGCACCTGAGGACCACACACTCACACAAACACTGTAAAGTCTTAGCAGCAATATGATGGGAGCATTATAGTGATTCTTCGTCTGGGCAAACCCAGAATCAGTTTTTTTTTAACTTTAACTATTTTGTTTCAATTGAATGTTTTGTGTACTGACTCATGAAAATAAACTGTGGATCATCTTGTTTTGTAAAGCAGTGGCATGGACGCATGTTCTCTTATAGTCTCGTAACTCTGCAGGCTGCGCACATCTGGCCAGTGCGCTTGAAAGCGCTGATATACAGGGGCGGATCTAGAAAGGTTTGGACGGGGTGGCCAGGCTGGGACACTACTCAGAGGGGTGGAACGTTTCAAATGCATGTAAAAAGTAAAGTCAGTTCTATGAAATAACAAATCATACATTATCAAGAATGAAATGGTTTATTCTGTGTAAAAATGAGACAGTTCTTCCTTTAGCTGATTTTCCCGGTGCTCCTTATTCACTCCTGCTGGGGATAAATCATGCCAAGTACTCCACAACAGCACAATTGAAAAACTGCATGCAAATGTCATGCTGCATTAATTATATAAAACAAAACTAATTTGACCAATATCAATTAGAAAGCAACAGAAAAATGTTAGTTGTGTATAAGGCAACAGTTTGTCTTTTTTTAATTATCTTTTATTCATTAATAGTGATAAACATCATGGTCTGGCGAGGGTGGCCAAAAAGATTCTGAGGGTGGCATGGCCACCCCATGGCTCCGCCCATGCTGATTTAATGTGCATGCTAGATTTTTTTTTTTTTAAATGATAATTTAAAGAAGCATATTCAAAATTTCAAAGTGACATTGGGGGTTGGGGGGAGGGTAGCTGTGCAACAGGGAATGAACATATATGAAGCTTAAGTTAATGCTTATGAATTTTACTGGATTAAAATCAGGGCAGCATTGGAAGCATTAGTTAGCACAGCTGCCTCACAGCAAGAAGGTTTTAGGTTCGAGCCCTGGCCGATCTGTTTTCAAAAGTATGGAAACTGCTTTTAGCTCTTAAAAACACAACCAGTAGTCACCACTCTTGACATTTTAGAAAAGCATTTATCATATGACAAACAGAATAAATCAGCACTTCCGGCAGGCTGAGTCACTGAAGTACATATTAACGGTGTGATTTTGCAACAGCATTACTGTATGTGTTTTGTCTCATTTTCTCTCTTGTGTTGTTTTAGTTTTCTCATGAATCTGTCAGGGAGGCACAGTGGAACCGTGGTTCGAGCCCCGGCCGACCCAGGGTTTTTCTTGTGGAGTCTGCATGTTCTCCCTGTGCCCGTGTGGGTTCTCTCTGGGTGCTCCAGCTTCCTCCCACAGCCCAAAGACATGCAGCTTAGGTTGATTAGCGACTCTAAATTGCCCGTAGGAGTGTGTGTGGTTGTTTGTCTCTAAGTGTCGGCCCTGTGATAGACTGGCGACCTGTCCAGGGTGGACCCCGCCTCTCGCCCAGCGTCAGCTGGCATTGACTCCAGGCCCCCCAGTGTCCCTGTTCAGGTAAAGCAGTATAAATAATAGATGGATTGACATCAGTGCGTGTGTTCAGGTTGTCTAAGTGAAAAGCCACGATGCAGCCGCGTGAAGACTGTGCTGCTGAGGCTGAAGCCGTCCTGTTGATACAAACGACAGCTCAGGAAGCCGAACATGAATGCCACTCAAATCACTGTGGGCTCATTATTGTTGGATCCGGCTTCTATTTATCAAGTGAGGAACTGACTCATCCTGTTCACTTGTGTGTGAGTTTGCCTGTTACCACTAATGAGAGGTAGCATGTGACACAACATGGAACACAAGATGCAGCCTACAGTTTGTAGTATTTTTGGTTGGGGATGAGGCTGATGGGTGCAGTCATCTGCAGGTAGAAATCAAACCAAGTTTACTTAGTTTAATTATGTTTATTTAAAAATATATATAGAAACAGGGCCACTGGTGTAAAACTACAGCAACATGGAACAGTGTGAATACTCACTTTAATGCAACCCTGTTCGCCTTTAACGGACACTGGAAATAAAGATAAATCTCACATCACAGCAGCACTTAACACATCAGAAGTGTACAAACTGGATTTAACTGTGTTCAAATCAATATTCTTATTTATGATGCCCTGATGTTTTCAACAGTGTGGGCTTCAATGTCTGTTTATTCAGTGAACTTTAATGATATAAAAGTAGGAGCCTTTCATGCTTCTGTGTGCAGTAAGATGGGTACCGTAGTTAAGGATTAAGAAGAAAAAAAACTGAAAATGCTGCACATATACAGTAAAATAAAACTCAAACCGTCAATACTCCAATTGCAGAAACTGTGTAAAGTAATTTGTTAACTGGACAGCAGATCACAGCTGGTTTATAGAGAACTGGACTGACTGGAGCTTTTATTAAACAACCTGGGTTACCACCACTCCAACCATGTTTGGAGCAGTTTGCTTCAACCTGGGAACTTGCACAACTGAAGTAAAGTTTTCTGGTCAAGTTGAAAAAGGACAAACTATGGCGGCTCAGAAGTCTCGTCTTCAGTGAGGCCCAGTCCGGTTTTAACACAATTATTAAAGTGCAGGTCATTAGAGAAGGGGAAACAACCCTGGAATGCAACGGTTAATTAGCACAGTTAGAACAAATTATTGATATCTAGCATCCAACACTAACTTATAGTTAACAAAAGTGAGATATCAAAATCAAGTTTAGACTGATACTGCATGTTCAGCTACAATGTTTGTGTTCTCAGCTGGTATAAACACTAAGGTCAAGCCTGTCATGATTAGAAACATTCCACATTTGAGCGCTGTCTGCATCCTGTCACATGGAACAAGCTTTTAAGTTTGCAACTTTTGTGGGTATCTAAACAAACCAAAATGCAACAAACCCAAGTTCCCCGCTCTGGTATGAACAAATTAAAGGAGCTGGAGGTGTGACTACACCGACCTGCACTAGTGAACTCACCAGAACTAAACCTGTCACGACAGAGGAAAAGAAAAGATGGGAACTTATATACTGTCTCGAACACAAGGTAAAAGCCAAATCAATGTCTCATGCTGTAGGGACTGGGAGAATTAATCACATCAATATAATGCAATCTGTCCTCCAATGATATTAGGATGACACTTTGCACTTGTTATTTGAAGTCAAACTGTTTTGCCAGTTTATGGCTGTTTGACTGTGAAATGATGGCACATGCTCCAACACCTCTGTTGTCTATAAAACTGCAAAACTCTGTGGTTGAAAATGATGTCTTCACAGTCCAAGATTCATTCTTGTCCGTTGCAGATTTAAGACTATGTTTTCCTGTTTTGGTGAGGTCTCCGAGATATTTGTATCACCTGTATTATAATGAAATGTTGTAGAAACTCGGTTACTTTTTGATTCTCCAGTCTAGTTGTGATGTTCAGCTGCATCAGTCTGGTCCCAACACCGTCATGAAATCCTTCAGTTGTTTCATTCTCTAAATGCTACTTGTCCGTTCTCCAGCTGGAATCTTGGCAGGGTAAACCTGCCTTCTCTACATAGAACCGTCTTCCAGCTGCTCATCCTGAAAAGGGTAGCTGAGCGCCTTTACGCCCTTGAAAGACTTTGAGGGCCTCTTTGGAGGCCATGGCTCTGGCGGCAGCCTCATCCCGCCCATATCCTGTGCCTATGAAGACAGTCTGACAGCGAATTTCACACACGTGGCCTTCCTTTTGTGTGCGACCTGCGGGGAGTCCTGTGATGTCCTTCAGTGGCACAAACACGCAGGTCAGGGTCTGTTTACATGACTCCACACAGCTACGGAGTATTTCAAAATGGTCCAAATTAGGACCAAAGCCTCCTGCTGACACCAACTTCCAGGCCACTGCCTTGTAGAGGCGATTGAAGAAGGGCTGATGTTCTGCTGGGGCCTGTGGAGGAGGTCCTGCTTTCTGACTCACAGGCCATGCGGCTGTCCTCCCAGTGGGTCGACTGTCGGCCTCATTAGGCCCAAATCTGGCTCTTTTCATGCAGCTGTCAGCATCGCTCTCTGCAAATGATGACACAACAAGCAGGACAATGTTGATTAGCACAGAGCAGCAGCATTCAATGAGAACACAGACTCCAGCCACAGGTGTGGATGTGTGAATTAAAAACAAAACCCTGTTGGAGCTGAAGCTAGCACTACAATCTGCCGGAGGTCTATAACAAGCTACTGAATGTCTGTGGGTCTCTCCTGCCATCTAACATATTCACAGCTTGTACAGTCAAGGTAAGAATTTCACTAGAGTCCTAACATTTCCTGAATGGCAAAAAAATATGTGCAGGGCAAAAAATAAAGTGATTTGCTAGAACACAAAAATTTGAATGTTACCACACAGATGACATAACAAGCAAATACCAGCACTGTTGTGCTCGAGAGATATTATTTGCATGTTTAATATTATAAAAACATCAGAGGTGGGATATACAACAAAATCACATATCACAATATAGTAAATCAAACAGAAAATATCAACACAAAGCTCTGTTGTAATCTTTAACTTGACTTTAATTTGTGGTGTTACTTCTAATATTTTGTCTATCAGCATTTATATAGAGAACAAAATATTAGAAACATATTTTAACATAAGGTCATTTGATACAACACAACAGAGTTGGAAACCGTGTCTTTCTTTTCTACTTTTCTGTAACACTATGTATAAAAAAGTTAATGCAGATATTAGCCGTCAATGAAAAACAGTGAGGTGTTACTGTGTTTCAATACAGCGTCCACCTGAACTGTTTCTTGCTGAGATTTGTAACAGATCCTACACTGGAGCATACTGCTTTACTGAAAATGTGCGTTGCATTACCAGTTGTGGCGCTCTGCTTTCCTTTGGCCCTGACTTCATCTTTTGTTGTTTTGTGACCTGGAGGATCTTGGACGACTATGCCCTCACCCATCTCCTTGATCATGTCCATTACAGATTGTGGATAGCTGAAGGATGCAGAGAACAAAAGCAAGTCTTGAGTCTTGCTCTCTGAAGTTCATCATTCTGCTCTGTCAGTGTGTCCTACCTGCAACCGAGGAAAACGTGATTGGCCCAGACCATGGACAGAGAGATCAACCTGTCTGTACTGCTACTGGAGACTCCTGGCTCCACTGTGGGGAAAGCCGCCATGTTTCTCAGGATGAACTCCCTCCGAGCTAACCACTGTTTGTTGGTCTCAGAGTAGCCCCTGAGAGTGTCGATCCACTGGGCCAGTTGCGGGTTCTGGCCCAGGTACTCTGAAACTGTGTCCTCTCCGCTCCTCTCCCCCGCCATCCCTGCAATAATAAACAATATGAATAAAAAACATAGCAAACTCACATTTGCTTATTTATTTATGTGACACTTCAGATAGTACAGCTAGCTTGAATCAGGCTAATTAAACCTATCAAATCTTCAGAAGTCTTGATAAAGCTGTGTATCTAGTAGTTAGCAATTCAGACCACAAACAGATGCGTTTAGTTGATAACTTAGCTGGCTGAAGCCTGGTTAAGCTGACTAGTAAATGTTTTCCCGAGTGCTACTCATAAACCGCATTTAGCAACTAATGGCAAGTTAAGTCAAACGGCAAACCGAGTGACAATAGCTCTGCCAGAACCCACACTAATAATGGCAACATGCCGTCAAGCTTAAAAAAAATAATGATAGCAATAATGTGAGTAACGTGCTATGCATAGTTAAAGAGTCGACGTACCAAGCTCTCGCCGTATTGCGAGATGTTGCTAGTTACATGACCGAATGATGACACAAGACTGAGGACGCAACCTTTTGCGGATCGGAACTACATTTCCCAGAAGGGCGGTGCTAGCTAGCTAGCTAAAGGCTGTCAGCTAATTTTTTTTTTCTTTTGCTGGTTTACATACCTCGCAATGCTCATTTCAGCACGGAAGCAACCATGAGCTTTGCTTTCATAACTTATCACTGCAACACCTAATAATAACAGCCATATTTACTTTTATGGCACTTTGAAATGAATGTAGAATGAGACCAGATCAGCATGTCCCGTGATGCTTTGCGTTGGAATGAGCGTAATCAATCTGCGACAGGTCGGGCGGCAGTTTGTTTTGGTGATTGAATGAGAATCTCACAGCTGCCTTCTCAGTCTTAATCAGTTTAGGGTGAATTAATATGATTCACGAGCTGTTGCTGGCGTTAAGTGGATACCCCGGGACGATTTTTACATGGAACAAACAAACAGGTTTGCAGGTAAAACAGGAAAACTGCACAGTGTTAAATTTGTGCTAGCATAAGAGGTTCAGGAGTGACAGTTTCAAATTCAATAGTTAAAACATGTAATGTTACTATATTATACAGCAAATTATAATGTTATAGCTTAAACATCTCCAAGCCCCTTTGCTTTTTAATGTTGTTAAGATGTTTTCTTTCTTTGTAAAATGTTCTCAATAATCTATATAAATCCTTTTGCATATGAAACGTGCTATACAAATAAACTTGTCTTACCTTTTGGCTTGTGTATCAGAGGCATTCTTTTGATTTTAGTACTGAGACCCAGGAACTGAAACAGAAACTTAGAGATACTCTGCATTTTAATATTGAGTTGCAGGACGTCAAAAAAGCGTTCTGTGCGGTAAAAGTAAATAAAAGTTGCGGCCCAGATAATGTATGTGGGCGCTTAGTGAAGTCTTGTGCACATGAACCGAGTCCTGTGTTTCAGTATATTTTTAATAAGTCTCTGCAGACACAATATGTACCTAGGCTCTGGAAGGATGCTGTTGTTGTCTCTGTTCCTAAATCCAGCTGTCCTGCAACTCTGAATGATTTTAGACCAGTCGTTCTGACTTCAGTTTTAATGAAGATTTTTGAGAGGCTGGTCAGATCGGAGGTCCTGAGGCAAAGTGAACATGCACTGGATCCTTTGTAGTTTGCATATAGGCCTCACAGAGGAGTGGAGGATGCCACAATTACTCTGCTCAATATGCTTTTTAGACATCTGGATCAAAGTGGGACACACGCCAGGCTTTTATTTGTGGATTTTTCTTCTGCTTTTAATACAATACAGCCTCACATTTTAATTGAAAGGCTTCTACAACAATTTGATTTGAGTAATAATCTGGTAGGTTGGATTTTGGATTTTTTAATCAACAGGACACAGAGAGTAAGGGTCAATGGCATATTATCTGACCAGAGGGGTTCTTCCACTGGTTCTCCTCAAGGGTGTGTGTTGTCACCTGTACTTTTTATTCTCTACACAAATATGTGTCAGAGTAGATGTGACAATAGAACTATAATAAAGTATGCCAATGACTCAGTTATTGTTAGTCTCCTCAGTGATGGTGAAAGTAGCCATGGTTCAGTCATTGAGGATTTTGTCCACTGGTGTGAGGAATCCTATCTGCAACTAAATACAACAAAAACTAAAGATATGCTCATAGATTTTAGGAGGAAACCTCATAGGCAC